CTCGAAAGTCGTGCCTCGCCCCTTGTCCCGTCTTTTTAGTAGTGTTTCAGTGTTCAACGACGTCTTCCCCATTTCTGAACGTCCAACACCCGGCGAACCCCTTTACGGGGCTCACCAGTCGAAGTCTTGTTTCTCAGCTTCTACAAACACCTTGTCGACACAGTACGCCGCTGATCTGTGCTGAGCTCCGAATCGACGTGTCGAGGCTGTCTGAGAGCTATTCGGAGCGCCAGTCGTACGTCGTGTGCGGATCAATTTCACAATGAATTCACCACCAAGCTCGAACGCCAGCACACGACAGAGTCAATCGCCGACGATGAGAAGTCGACCTTCCGCCTCTCATTCCATACCCATCAGATCCAGCATGTCTCATGCAGAGTTTCCTGTGAAGCGCCGCAGGGTCGATCCGCCATCACCGGCCGAGTCTACATCGCCAGAAAAACAATCGTCCCCGTCCATTGCCGTTGCCGACCCCGCCATGATGGACGACCGTGGTGACACCGCCAGCCTGACCGACAGTGCCAGAGCTCATTCGTACGAAAACGGACTGCGCTATCACGGGTATCGACCGGGAATCTACGCGTTCCCCAACGATGAGACGGAGCAGGAACGTGATCAGCTGGCACATCAGCTCAGTTATGAGATGTGTGGTGAAAGCCATTTCATCGCTCCCATTGAGCAATGGCTGGAAAGGGGGGCTGAGGTGCTCGATCTCGGTATGTTGGATCCCCTCTCCCTTTGACTATTCGCCACCCAACCAACGCCCCGGCACTTTGGCTTTGCCACCGATGTGGCATCGCTAACATTTCATCAGGAACCGGCATTGGCATTTGGTGCGAAGAACGTGAGTGGTATCCTGTCGTCTTCCCGTGTCCCCCCTCCCAACTGCAGGTACACCCCACGGGAGTTGGGATCCTGATTTCCCATCCACCACGTTCCCCTAGGCACGACGTGCTCTTCCCCTCGCGTTGATCTTTTGCTGATACAATTCTTTTCTTTTTTTTTTCGCATGATTCAGTGGAGGATAAATATCAGGCTTCTCTTTCGAGGGGATTGACTTATCGCCGATCCAGTCGAGTGAGGTGCCACCCAATGTGCGCTTCTACGTCGACGACATGGAACACGAGCAAGGCTGGGACTTCGACGGACGCACTTTTGACTACATCCACCTCCGGCACACGCTGCACTCGGTCCACAACCGACCGGAGCTTCTGAAGAGGGTTCTCGAGTGGGTGTCTCATCCTGTCCAGACGAAGAGCGCTTTGCTGACAACCGCTAGCCACCTCAAACCGGGCGGCTATTTTGAAGTCCAAGAGTTCGAATGCAACCTCCGCTGCGACGACAACACGTGCCCCGAAGGCAACGATTATGCCCTCCGCGAATGGTTTGATCACCTCGCGAGCGGCCTGTCTGCGCGAGGCGTCGACCTCTACAGCATCACCTCCATTGCTGACGAGATGCGGGCCATCGGCTTCACCGGCGTGACGGAGCACTCGCGAAAGTGTCCTGTCGGATCATGGCCTGCTGACGAGAGCCTGCGCTTCTGCGGCGGTTTGCTGAGAGAGAGCTTGCTCGCCGGCTTGGGTGGGCTGAGTGCCCGGCCTTTTGCGGCCTTGACGTGGGAGAGGCCGCGGCTCGAGGTCTTCTTGCTGCGGGTGAGGGAGTCGATCAAGACGACGGGATATCATGCCTACTTGCCTTTCCGGACAGTCTGTGGCCGGAAGCCCTTGTCGGACTAGTCATCCGATCCGCAGGATGGCGGCTCATCAGATCAAGCGGATGGGCTTCGTTTTTTCTTTCTGTTCGTGGAAACATATATGCATGGATACGGAACACGGGGAGGCGTCGGGGTATGTTAACAGTACGCTTTTTGTCTTGTTCCTGCGTCAAAAGCACGAGGGCGTGCATGGCATTCTTTGGGTCTTGGGGGGTTTGGGGTTACACGGCTTATGATAAACTATACGAAGGTCTTCAGGCGGCGTTCTGAGGGGAAGCGCTCGGGAGACTATTCGACGATATGCATACATGTTGAGTCTTCATATCTTCGCAATGTGATGTTGAGTGACAAGGAGTACTTGAGAGCCGGCGTTTCCATCTAGCTAGTTGCAATGGGGGTTTCTTGCTTGACTGTGGATGGATCAGCAAGCTGGCGTGGACAGCACAGTCCAGGCGGTCGAGGAAGTACAAGGCCGCAGTGGCGAAGGTTCAAGACTTCGTAGTCGAGCGTGTTGTGTGGCCGTTGATCTCGGCAGAGCGTTTTTTGGTCTTCCGCATCGAGCAAGACGGCAGTGGACAGACGAATCAGAAATACGTCGAGCAAGTTCTCGCCTACCTGCCAAGAGTCTCAGACCC